AGCTCCGAATCCTGTTAAAACGGCACAACCATAGTGCCCACCTACCTTGTGTATATACGCACGCGCACACGCAGACCGAAGAGAGCAATAAACAGCAAGCCCGCCAGTCACGCACACTGCAGCTGAAAAATTTGGGTTTCCCTCGAGGCAGGTAGCCCCCCCCCCCATGCCCATACTCCGTGTATATAATAATATTAGCTTCGTTAGTTTCCTGCTTCCTTTTTCTCCCTTGCTCCCCCTCCTCCTCTCAAGGTAAGCCCGCAAACACTTTCCCAAGAGCTGCACGCGGGCAAACATCGGATATACACTGCTAATAGTCCATATCGACACCGGCCTGCAGTCGCAGTACAGCATAAAATGGGAAACAAAAATCTCGAAAAGTATCGAGTGTCTCTGCGCATTACCGAAGCGATTTTCGTAAATTCTTCACAACACACACATTGAGAGCTACGGGTATATCTTTATATGCATAATGCATAGATGGGGCAAATAATAGCCAATTGCGTGATGGATAAATTCAAAAGCCAACCCGGTTTTTGTTGATGAAATGATGCTTTTTTCAGGAATATGCACGTGTTTCAGAGAGCCACTTGAGTTTTGATGTATTTCTTGTTCAATTTCTCGATTATTACAATGCACTCGAGTAAGTCATTGTCAATCCGAGCAACCTATCTATAAATAGGTCTTTTTGCCGTCGTTCTATACAACCAGTAAGATTTTCTTTCGGCCGGTGATACGTTTTTTTTTTCTTTCTTAGTCGAACAGCTTGTTAAAGACGACCAAAATTGTCGTTGGTACATACGCCAGAGCCAGATTTTCAGGCCAGAATTGTTATTACCGGTACCCAAAAAAATAATTAAAGCTCTCTCTCCACTGTACTTCATTTATCTCGAAGCAATCGTCTTCTTTTTCCTCCTCTGCATTTTTCATCTCGCAACGCTTTAGAATTTCCTCTTAACCGTTTGACTAAAGAAAATAGCTACACACTAATTACATTAAATTTTTTTCTTCCCTTTTTCTTATGTTTCCTCGGATTTTTCCCACAGCCAGTGGATCCTCGCTTTATTATCGTCATTATCATTATGTCCGGCTCTCGGGCCAGGCCACACGAGGGATTTGTAACACAGTCCTCCTCCTCCCCTGACCTCAACAGTTATTCCGAAATTGCTGTGCTGCATTGGCCTCTTATCTTACATTATTATGTTTATTACATTGGATAGATATACAGCGTTTGGGTGACTAAGTGTACAATATCGACCCTACACCTAAACGCTGTTGTAATGTATTATAAATCGGGACGCTTCACCCATATATATGTATGTATGTATACCTTACGATATTTGGCGTGCAAGTATTGCTCGCATATTAAGGGTGTACCTATGCGCGTACGCATATAATGACGATTGCCGCCTTCGAGGCGTTCCGTGTGCCAATTATTATATTGTACTCCAGCTTGATCCTTTTATTGAGCAGCTGGACGTCAAAGGGATCGGGGCGGAAATATTTCGACACTCGGTTTTATTATACGGACGCGCGTGTCGTGTCATGGCCAATACTCGTGATTTACCATTTTCCAACGCAACTGCCGATGCACAATTTTTTTGTTTTTCGATAAATACACACCCATTTTTCAATGAAAATTACAACGAAAGAAGAAGAAGAAGAAGAATCAAAGTACAAGCACAGCAGGCTGCAAGGTGAACTCGCACACATGAAGCACCGTAATGAGGACGTCGTGTGCCAATGACAAAAACAAAGACCAAAGGAAATAAAGTTGCAGTGAAGAGGAAAAGTAAAAAAAAAAAAAAAAGAAAAAGAATATCCACGCGTCATCGGTAAATATCACAGCTGCGTTGCTGCGGTACTGCATCCAAAGGCATCCATATATGTGTAGGTATGTGATGTACGGGCGCATTACTATATATATACACATACGTGGAGACGCAGACAGGCCGAACGGGTTTTCTCGCTCGCATCGCGAGGCTCCCCTCGTTCCTCCTCCTGAAGCTTCGTCTCCACCTTATCCAGCTCCTCCTCCTCCTTTGGAGAGGATCGAGTAATACGGCTCGGCTCACGGTCCAAGCTCAAGCCGCTATAGAGCCGCTACGCCGATCCGACGTAACCGGCATTGCGGAGCTCCCAAACGTACGTGTGTGTATTACTGCACGCGAACAAGCTCTCCCTCTCTCTCTCTCTCTCTCACTGACGTGCAACAGCATTTAACGTGCCTGTGCGTATGGGTACACACGGATCTTTTCACGAAAACTTTGGCTCTATAATCGTTTTGTTGAAAAAAAAGGCTAAATGCCCTTATTGTATCTCGTTCATTTTGAAAATGGCACTTTCACATGTGTGCCTTTTTTTTTAATCTCTTCAGCATTTTGTTGTCGATTACCATTAAAAACAACAACAACAACAACAACTACCAAATGTTTGAAATCTCATTTAACCATTTTTAGTGAAAGGGCCCATATACATTTACCTGTACGCTTTTATATACAAGTAGAGTCAACTCCTCCCGAGGTCCTCCGCGGATTTTCTCTCTCTCTCTCTTTCTGGCCATGTTCGCGTCTCCCTTTTCCTTCCTTCGTTCATCGTAAGTCTTGTATAAGTGTACCTACCCGTATACAAGCGTATGTGTACACACATAGAGTATCGTATAGTTTATAGTACAAAGATCGGTAAGAGGCGCGCACACTCACACACACACACACACACACACACACACACACACACACACACACACACACGCTAAACCTCTGCATCAGAGGTTGGCTTTATCGTCTCTCGAGTAAATATACATCCACATATACCTGTACCTTGTATACGTACGAGAGCTAACGCGCAAATAGTGCGCTGATTCTTTTGCCCGATAAGGGGTTAGTAGCGTACACGCGTACGAGGTATAATTATTATATATACATTTTTTAAATTTATATTATAGTGTGTTCACCTCTCATGAGGTATTTACACTATTATATATACATACCCGGCTCGAATCGGCGCGCTATCTGCTTACCATAGATCCTCGATCTTTGCCCATATTGTATACGGCAAAATCCCAGTCAGGGTATAGGTTACACATAATATATAGGTACATGTGCGCACAGGATATATATAAATACATGCGAATTGCCAAGGTGTACGTGCAATGTACCATCAGGAGGGAGGAGTCGCGGGCGCAGCTGTACGTACGCGTCGTTTCTTACGTGTTCGCGGAACATCTCGGGTTACCGATAAGAGGAGATAATAGCAGTAAGTATGTATATGTATACCTGTACACGCGCATACTACAGAAACGGGCCCTTTTTATCGGGTCAGCTTGCAATGTTCCCCATATTATATACTCTTGCAAAGTGGGAGGCGTAGGTAAGTATCTGTATATGTATATATACTCGCGCCGAGCAGCAAAAAGCTCTCCCGATCAAGCCCGTGTACGCGTGTCCGACAAAAAGATATCTTCAATCGTGCATGGGTTTACACGTAGGCACGTGTAAAGCTTCGCAAGCGAGGAAAATCTTATTCAACGTTAAAAACGCAAATGAAAAGTTGAAAAAAAAAAGCACCTCTCCGTACACACGGTAAAATGCAAAAGGGCAAACGTGCCTCCTCTCGTAGAAGGGCTACTTGTACAATATGTCAGTATATAATATATATAGGGTGGAGAAAACACAGCGCGATGGAGTAAGCGCATTAACAGCGGCAGCAGTAAGTTGTGCACGATAGAGGTGTAAGTAGGTATACGCGTATACGCAGGATGAGAGAGCATCAGGTATATATGTATATAACACAAGTGCATCCAAGTTAAGTGTACATGCAGGATAGACGGATGAGAACTATCTCTCTTGTACCGGGGGGGTGGAGGCCCCATAGAGCGGGACTGCAACAGAGAGAGATGCACCTCTACATTATATATACTTGTACCTACGGTGTATAATAGCCCACGGGGAGCATGGTATACCTGTCCGTTCGTTCTCTCTGTTTCTTCCTTGGCTCCGCTTTTTACCTCCTCCTCCTCCTCCTCCTCTCAGTTTCTCGTGATTCTCCTTCTCTTCCTACGCTTACGTGTATGTATATGTATACATATATACCTACATTCTCCTGCTCATGCAGCGTCGTCTACCAACGAAAGAGTGAGAAACCGGTAGAGGGGCCCGCTGCTCTCTCCGCGAAGAGAAACGGTGGAGGAAGAGAAGGTGGTGGAGAGAAGCGAGAAAAGGGGAAGCGCATCGGGCAGAAAGGGCCCCGCGAAGGATATGTATGTATATATATATAGGAGCCGAGAGAGGCGTAGGCGTGGTGGGGGCTGCGAGGGCCTCACTCACTCTCTCTCTCTCTCTCTCGTGTATACCCGGGCAGCCGAGTGCTCCCAAGAGAGACGGAAAAAATACGGGTCTGTCTGTCTTTTTCTCTCTCGCGTACCAATGTAGCAGGCACGGAGGAGCCGCGGGCCCCCAGGCTCCTCTGCTGGTATGGTAGTCGAGCACGAGAGTCCGAGCCGAGCAGCAGCGGTAACACTCGTGCCGAGAGACAGTCTCTCGGTCAATCAGTGAGTGAGTGAGCGAGAGTACAGTACATCGGGGCCAGCCACTGCCCGTGGACACCACAGTTTGCCCGCATACGCAGTTACGATTCACTCTGTTGTACGCACGCATCACCTGTACCGATTTGCCGATTTTTTTGTTCTGTTTTTTTTTGTTTTTTTTTGTTTTTTTTTTGTTTTTTCCACCGCCATCGTTCGGTCGTTTTGCCCGTGTGCCGGGGAACCGTACCGATCGTGACTCTCTCTTGTGACACGCGAGTGTGATAACTACCGATTGTTCAGTTGTTCAACTCCATTACCGAATACTTTCGAAACGACAGTGTACACTCATTTATATTTATTTTCGTTATCCAACGAAAGAAAATCCAACTGTGAATGGCAGCAGCTATTGCAACCGTGACTATGCCGGAGGCGCGGTGATAACAGGCGCCCGCGCCAGTGTCTCGCTCGTCCCAACCCCCCGTTTTTTTTTTTTTTATCCCTGCTCCGAGAGCACCATCGGCTCGGTTAGCCAGTGTGTGTATGTTGGGGCCTGATCAGCCGACATGCCGAAGATATTCCTGATCAAAAATCGGCTGCACCTGCAGCAGCAGCGCCTCCAGGAGTCGCAGCACCACGGCGGCAAGAGCCCCCCGTTCAAGGAGAGCCCGCTCGGTGCCGCCGAGCCGCTCAGCCTCATCGTCAACAAGCAACAACAGCTTCATGGTGAGCATTTGTTTTTTTTTTTTTTTTTTTTTCCATCATACATACCGATTTTCGAGGACCCGCCTGGGAATCGGCCACAAAACTATGTGTCACAGGTAGCCGTTGTCGCGTCGCGTCGTGATTGACAGCTGGCGCTATTCATAAATGTACACCTATTGTACTAACACATTTGCCATGCGCCAGCTGAGAATCAACGGTATAATACCCGCTCGGTTGTTATTACGTAAAGAGCTTCTTTTTTTTTCTTTTTTTTTTGTTTTTTGCCTTTGAAAAAAAAATCGAGTTTAGACGAGCTGCACCTGTACGCGAGTAGCTCATTTTTTTGTTCTTCCTTTCAAAGCGTCTTCGAAAGCAGAGATAGAGAGAATATACCATGTATTTAACGTTCGAGTGCACTGGTATATAATATACACGGAGAGGGAACTGGTTTTTCGGTTCCTCGATAGCACCTGTAGCGCTGCTGGGCTCGTTTTTTTTTTTTTTCTTCCTCCCCGTGCTTCGCTCGACGCTTCAAAGGGTTGAAAAATGCGGCTCTTCGGGAATTCGAGAGGACGCTCCAAGATAATCCATCGAGAAACACGCAACAACTTCAAACGGGTGTACAACAAAATTGCCAAAACAAAAAGCCTCGGTGTAAAAGGCACGATGCGCCGAGTAAGATTTCCGCGTGAGAAAAATATCCAATGTTACATAAATAGCATAACCACACGCATAGTCCACTCGCCCGTTAATATATACTCGATACAAAAATTACGCTCACCTTGCGAGCTTGCATTAACATTACAAGTCGCGCAACAATAAAAATAAATTACAGCCTCACCAAGAGAGAGAGAGAGTCGAGTGGAAAATAAATATTTAAATCTCGTAAATGTTATAAGGTCAAGCGGGTGCACGATACGCAATATACCTGGTGCGCGTACAAAAATCAACAATCGGGCGTACGGATAAACGGGAGAAAGCGTCCACGCGTTTGCACTCGAAGTATATAATCCCATTAGAGAGATTTCGCGAGGGCAAGGCCGTCGAAAGGAGCACCTGACAAAAAGGAGGAGAGAAAAAAGAGCGATACCTAATTTTGGTGTATACATGTATACATATATACGGAGGGCTGAGTATATGGCGCATTTGAAACTCACCCTCGTGAAGGGGCTGGCACCACCTATTATGTCGCTGCTGCAGGCACCTGACACTGAACCTGCAGGTGCCCCCTCTCCCCCCAATGATCCTATACCCTTGCGATTTCTCGCTCCTCGTTAGCGAATGTATATGTACACGCACGCGCGCACACTACAGCGATGAAATGGCGCCGTCGGGAGTTTGCGCCCTTGAAGAAATTGCCAATCGGCCAAGGCGGCTCTCCTTTTCCTTCCTCCATATACCGTACACGCATCACATTACCCACTCGTTCTCGGAACAAATGTCTCTCCTCGCGATTTTCTCGATAAAAAAAAAAAAGCTATTCTCTCGATCCGCGTTTTTTCCACCGTCCTCTTCCTCCTCCCGGCTATACACATATGTATATATATATACATGAACAATCGGCCGTGACGCGCATGTAACGTTATTTATCGAGGCAACACTGTCACGGACGCTTTATCTTTAGGTACTCGTGGTGTACAAAATTACGAGAGGAGCGCGTGTTTTTACATGCGGCAAGGTCCGCTATATATACTTACGTACATCTCAATACATTCATACAGCTGACCTTCATCATATTCGTCGATCTGCTCGGCAGCCTCAAGAAGTCCTGGTATGTCCAAGATTCCACACTGAAACTTACAGGCACACATTTCTCATCCAATCCACTCTCCTTCTAAATTCGCTGGGCATTACAGTTTTCGACATAAGGTTAAAAAATGCATTTCAAACATTTCTTTTTAATAAATTGCTTGATTCTGATTCCCAAGATTGGAACCGTGAACAAGGCATTATCTCACGACTCTAAAAACATTTTAAAATTATTTTTAATAAAAACAAATCTATACAATCTTACAATAGTGTTAAAATAAGTCTAATCAGTTACGTTAAATTTATTTATTGCCAAATTACACGATTATTGCTATTACCAATTTTATTAATTATTGTGTCAATTCTAATTATATGTATATTGCGAGCTATTACTTTTGTCAACTTCACTGTATTCTTAATCCATTGTTATTAATTATCTTGATTAATTGTTACGCTTTCGCAAGGTCAGTGGAGACGAAGACCGAGTTCTATTAATTATCTGTAAATTATTTAAGAACCATACGTGATTATACCACAAGGTTTGAATAAAGAATTAAATTAATCTAATACGGTTGATTATTATGATGCGTTACAATCGAGGATGGAAGTTTGTTAGTGCCTCTGTATAAATACGTAGTCTCGAGATTTAGTTGACGTAAGAATTTAGCGCCGCAGTTGTGATTACCGATTCGCGAGTCTCGATCGGCGTATGTCGCGCTTTAACGGTAAACATATTATGTACGTCTTTAGTGCCGTCCCGTCCGGTATACGCATGCATATACACACCTAACGGTAGCGGCGACTCCTTGCAATATCATCTTGTAAGGGCTTTTATTATTTTTCACTCGTACGACAAACAACGAAACGTCTCCCTATTTGAGAAAAAAAAAATTAATCGAAGCAGGTACTTTGGGGAAGATTGACGAGCTATAGCCGCATTCCTTTGGGAGCTTCGGGAAGAAAAAAAAAAAAAAAAAAAAAACCCCCCCTCGTATATATAATTGTGGAGGAGAGGTCCCGATGAAAAGGGATTTTCGGCGATTCCCGCGTGTGCAGCGCGCGCTTCGGATGTTCTCACACTCTCGGTGTATCTGTAGTATTTTTCGTAGCTCTCGCCACTTTGATACACCTACACGGGTATACACGGGCGTACGGAAAAAAAAGGCCCAATGGCACAGCGCGCAACGGTAAAGTGAGTAGGAGGAGTTCGTCCCTGAAGGAAAGAGAAAGAAACAACACTCTCGGCGTGTATAGCCTCGAGTGTGTGTATATATATATATATACGATTCGTATCGTCCTCGAAACTGGTTTAGGAAAAAAAAAAAAAAAAAAAAAAAGAGAAGAGGGAAAAAAACGAGGCTCATTCTCCCTCTCTATTCCTCTGCGCTTGTATTAATCGACGTTATGGTGTCTCGCTCGCACCACGCTGTGGCAGACCGCAGCCGCCCTTTTCCGCTGCCCGCCCTCCGCATTTATACATACATGTATACTTCTGTTATGGTAAACCGAACGCATTGTGTTCGTCGAGGATGGAAAAAAAAGATTCGGATAGGATTTTTTCGGGGGGGGGGGAGGAGCGGAGGGAGACTTTTTAGGAAAATAAATACCACAGCCGATACATCGAACGGAACACGGGGGCTATTTTTATTTTTATTTTTATCTCTTTTTTTTCTTGCTCTCTGGGTCCTTCTTCTTCTTCTTCTTCTTTGTTTTTTGCGGCCTTTTAAAGGAGCCTCGGCCCCATATGCGCTTGACCCGTGGTTTTTTCGCGCGTGTCGTAACGATAAAAAATTAGTTTTACGAATAAACGACCACCGTTGTTGTTGCCGTTATAGACCTCACGCGTTTGTTTGCAACTTTATTATTCGATTCTTGGTAAAATGCCAAGGTTTATTTTTTTCCTCTCTATTAATAATATCGATACACGTGATTTTGCGTTGCACTCGAACGGTGATTTCAATGCCTCGCCGAGAGTGAAGGTGAGAGCTCGACTTTTTGATCGCTTCGATCAACTGGTATTCGTTGGAGGATTTACTGAAAAAAAAAAAAAAAGAAAAAAAATGCATCAACCAACAAAGAATTTGATTAAATTTTTTTTTTTTTTTTTATTGTTTTGTCTCACCCCTCGGTGCCCAACAAAACACAGCGACAACGCGTTACAAACGGTACGTATACGCATACCGTAAACCGCATAATATATATTGTTACACGTGTGCCTATTCTTATATGTATATATCATGTACTCCACCTACAAAAAACAGATAGTACAATACGTATGTATGTGTATTTGTGTGCCCGCGCTATACATACAACCCGACCCCAGCGCAACAAAACGTGCACACAATGGACGAAGGTGCGATAACAGCCGAGCCAGCGTTCGCTTTTTACGCGATCTCGGAGCTAGATCTCTCTCTCTCTCTCTTTCGTTGTTTCTTTCATTTCAGGACCGTGAAAAAAAAAAAAAAAAAAAAAAAAACGAAAAACAAGAACAACCGCATTATAGACGCACCCCATGGTATATATATGTTATACCTAAACGGAAAAAAGAGCACGCGGAATGTATGCATACATACATTTTTGCACCTGTATAAGCTCCTCTGAGCATATATATGTACGCATTTAACAAGTAGATACTTACCGATATCTGCAATACGAAGGGGTGCATGCACATAGGTAAAACGTGTGCATGCACACAACGTGTATATATATACTAACCATACGAAAACGGAGAGGTGAACCTGCCACCGTCACTGTTACTCATATACCCATGTTGTATGCTGTGTACGGTGTACTATATAGCAGCAGGTGCCTATATCAGGGTGCGCGCTCATCGAGACGAATTACAATGAGCGCGACGCCGAGGCATGGTTTCTCCGTCTGGGCCCCTCTCTCTCTCTGTGCTGTTGTACATGTATATATATGTAGGCACACGGTTTAGGTGCACGGTACACATACGTAATGATAAAAAAAAAGGACGAGCGCGATATGTGTACCTATCACCGAGCAACGCTGCGCAGCGGAAGTGTCTGCACACGCGCGCGGGTTCACGATAGCGCGACCTGCACTCTGTTACACGACTTGTATCTCTCCGCAGCGTGTCTGTCTGTCTGTCTGTTCTTTGTACACATATTATGTGTATATATGTTGGGCTCGGGAAAAAAAAAAAAAAAAAAAAAATTGTGCTCGCGTGCGCGCATTCTACACCCAAGTACCTACTTACTTATGTATACGCGCGTATAATGTTGTATATTCGTGCTTTGGTATGTTCCATA